ACCAAAATTGATTCATCCGATGTGCTATATATGTGCCTGTCAGCGACTGAGAAGATTAAACGAAATGTTAACATCTCGCGACATTTGTCTTCTTTCTGTTTTGATGAAGTGGATAAAGGGAACTCAATGCTCTAAATAGAGTTGGTAAATGCTCCACAAAAAATGTAAAATAAATGTGAAGAAGTTTAAAAGTACAATAGCCAACGAGAGGCTCGAAACAGTTGCGCCATCGACGCCGGTTTCACACTCTCGGCTAATGATTGGAGTCGTCTATGGAAACCTAGATTGTGTCATAACTGCCATTTTTTGAGGTTGATGTTTTCATCTCTTTAGCTCAGGTCATTCGCCGTCGCTTCTAGCTATGCGGACGCCACGAGTGACGCAGGTTAGCGAACTCCACCTAGGTCTTGCGGATACCTAGATATTTCTTTTATCGGTCCTCAAACTGAAACAATTTCAAGGATAATCAAGCTTTTCAAGAATTTCCAACTGGTCATTCACGAGTGTGAGTTTGAGTGTAGCCTCCTGTTGGTTTTGTGGTAAAACCTTGTATTTCAGTGGAGAAAATATCATTCCAACCTGTGTGACGGACAACACCAGCTTGCACAGGACGATTTGAGCGTTTTGGGAGGAGTCGCAGACCGTAATGATGTCTGCAAATTCTGAGCCATAAAGTCGATCACCTGGGAGAAGCTCCACATCGTAGGCCCTGCAGAGGACGATTCACCGTAGGCTCTAAACATTCCCAAGGTTTGCTAGTGGAGTACTTTGAGAAACGGAACATACTTNCAACAAACGATTCCAAAGGACGGGGCGATCGACGGATTCGAAGCCTGCTCTGAGATCAAGAAGCACGACAATATTTTGCCGTGGTGTTGCGGTTTTCCATCCACTGATGAAGGATGAAGATTCAATCTATGCAACCCGGTCTGCCCTTCGCGGGTTTGTTTCTCACGAATTGAGCTTAGTCGGTACAGTACCACACTAACAACATATCGTGAATGGTAACTAGGACAGACTTTCGTAAAAGCCGTTTAAAGTAACCAGCGTGGGAGACTGGTTTAACTGTGATGCCAAGTGCTCTGCTGACGTTAAACCACCGGCGATGGTCTTATATAAACCTGCCGTCTATTTCGCAGAATGTTTTACTGATGGTCTGTATTTTGGGGCTGGTGTTTCAGCACGCAGCTTCTGATCAAGTATCGGTCAAACATAACGTCCACCAGGCTTCGCCGTACCCCTGGCGAGCTCCCACTTCAAATGGAGGTGCCTTTCATTATACTCACTGTCGGTCAAGGTTGCCCGACGCGCCTTAAGAAGTTGTAGAAGGTATATCGCTCTCTATGTTCGATATTAATCTACACTCTTTGGTCGGTTAGCAGTTGAGCCTGCAGCCAACTCATTTGGGTAATCGGTCAGCACGATCGGGTCAGAAAACTTGGCCATGTTCAACTGTTTGCATTTCATCTTTGTGTGGCTTCGAAATCGCATGGAACACCTGAATGCCACGGAAGCGAGAATAATCCTTAAGTAATTTGAACAGTCGTATCGGAGACCTTTAAAGGAGGCAGGAAGTTTGCCAAAATTCGATCTGATGGAATTGATTTAATATTCCTGATGGTTGGGACTAAAAATATCAGCTCATGAACGGGTCATGTACCATCGTTTTTATGAAAAGAACCAGGGAGAGTTAATCTAGGCTGGTCGCTTTGTGGCTTTTTAAAAGTCCAAGCTCTCGAAGGTACTTCTTACTCGATATTCGTTATGTCCACAGACCCCGGAGCACGGTGTATGCGAGGAAATGGAGATGGTGACGATAATGATCAAGTGAATTGCTGAAAGTGCTCCTCCTCATCGTATAGCATGATCATGACCATTGACTTTCCAAACTTAAGCACACGAAGGAAAACGTTCACCCTTCCATGACAATTTTAATTGGTTGTTTTTTTACCGAGAGGCAAATACTTCTGGATCCGAAATCTTCCACAGTAGTTATTACTCTCTTCACCCTTAACGTATCAGATCGAGATTGCCATTTTACTGTTCTGAAATTCGATATCAATTGAGTTTTACAAGGAAAACCTAACTTCTTGCAGACTGGTTTACGATTTGGGAGGTCTCGGTTTACGTTTGGCACCACCGGATGATTCGAAACTCGATACGAGTGGTGTAGAGAATAACAAATCGCTTCAATCACAGGCAACTGCTCAGGGATTAAGTCAGCTAATGGATTTCATTCGCCGATCGGGAGATTCCGCGGATGAACGAAATTCAAAAAGGATTTCCAGCAAAATCTCTGCACCAAATGTTCACTCGGCGAAAGTGAACGACAAGACGAATATCCTGGTCAAACCAAAGAGTTCGGATCCTCCCAATCTTTTTGAAATGCTTCAAAAGGCAGAAGTCGATTTCAACTCCAAGGTTGGTTCCTCTGTAGAACTCAGCATTTTTGTATGAACTCCCCTTCCGTTTTGACCACTATTTATAATTACTACCGTTTGTTGTCGTGCAACTTTGAATTGTGCGGAGAAATGCAAGCAAATCTGTGAGGACAGTTATAGGGAATGCATCAAGTTAATTGAACTGAAAGTGGTTGATAGAATCCGTCAATTTATTATCTCAATCAGCCGTTCACACATTGGATTACACGAAGAAAGTTATTTGGGTAGTTCGCGTTCCGAATTTTATTAGGGTAGTTGTCCTCTGGAGATAATTAACAACTGCATACTAGTGCTCCTGGATATGGTGCTCGGGATCATGACAATGCCTCCATCTACAGATAATGCTAGTCTTCGTAGGCGTTATTAAGAATACCTACGCGATAAAGTATACTAAGAGCGGTTTTTATCAAGTCCCTGTTACCCGCTAGATGCCCTTAGTCTATCGAATGACGCAAACCTTCCTTGTCAGTGAAATGAAAATGTGCCCAACGCACACTTCAACCGTTGTGGCTTTCGAGCTTTCTCCCCAATGTCGATCTGCACTGCAGGTATTTTAGGTCAGTGCATACCGAAAGCGCAGAATGAAAAAACAAACAAACAAAGGCGTTGTTATTCCACGTGATCTCGGATGTCCTCTCAGTCACGTCAGCTCACCTCTTCGATAACAATGAGCTTTCGAGGTGATTTGTCAAATACCAATCCCCCTTTATTTATCTTAAATGACCAGGTGGATCGACAATCATCTGTCATTTTCAACCGTAGCCTCACCTGGTATAATCACGTCAAGAATGTTTTTCTGAAGGTCAAGGCTTTTTTTCTTCTTAAGTCACTTTCTATTCCTATTCATCTCATAAGGTGTTTTGTTTTTGCTTGCGGTTTGCCTAACTGGTTTCATGAGTCCCCTGTTATCTTCCCCGGTCTTTTTAGCAAGAACCACAAACTCGTTTCGCAATCCCTCAAGTTTCTGTCAGTATGCAACCATATATCACGGCAACATCTGATACAGCAATGTGTTGGAACACCACCTCAAAACCTGTAAAACATTCTCAGGTTCTGTCTGATTTATTCCCATCCTCTATGCATTTTACGACAATCTTCACAACCTCTTGCGTGAAGTGACCCGGGCTGATATAGTGATTTTAGCAGGAGATATGAATGCTAGAGTAGTCCGGTTGACTTCGGATGAGGTGCACCTGGGAGGTCCTTTTGGACTAGATTCCTATTGCTCGGAAAACGGGGAGCGCCTGTTGGC